TCTCTCTCTTTCTTTCTTTCTTTCTTTCTTTCTTTCTTTCTTTCTTTCTTTCTTTCTTTCTTCCTTTCTTTCTTTCTTTCTTCCTTTCTTTCTCTCTCTCTCTCATTCATTCATTCATTCTTTTTTTTTCTCTCTCTCTCTCTCTTTCTTTTTTTTGAGGCACGGTCTTACTCTATCACCCAGGCTGGAGTGCGGTGGTGCAATCTCGGCTCACTACAGCCTCCTCCACCAAGGCTCAAGTGATCCTCCCACCTCAGCCTCCCAAGTAACAGACTACAGGTGTGTGTCACTATGCCTGGCTAATATTTTGTATTTTTTGTACAGATAGGGTTTCACCATGTGGCCCAAGCTAGTCTCGAACTCCTGGACTCAGGTTATCTGCCCACCTTGGTCTCCCAAAGTGCTGGGATTACAGGCATGAGCCATCACGTCCAGCCTCTCTGTTCTTCTTTATCTGCTCCATCTGGGGGTTAGGACTTCAACGTACGAATTTTGGGGGCACATAAACATTCAGTCCATAACAGATGGCCATACTGCATATCACACAGCTTGAACCAACCTTGGCCTCAGCTGCCTGGACCAGGAGCCCGCACCTGGCCAAGACTAGCTAGTCCATAGGCTGGTTAGTTGCCTACGAAGTTACCTGGCATGAAGGCTCTGCCAAAATGAGGATAATGAGTATTTGGGCCCATAAATTTCTCTCTCTTGGAATTGAAACTTCAGTGAGATTAAAAGCCAAAAGACATGTGCAGAAAAAGCCATGGGTATTTGTCACAAAGCAGGATAATGCCAGAAGAAGCAAAGAGATGAAGAAAAGATGGACACAGAGGAGAGGGGACAGCAGCTGGTGGGTAGTGACAGGCACCGTGGGGACTGCAGCACCATAACAGTAGCTCAGGGGTGGGAAGGTGGGGGTGTGGGAGTGTGGGTAAGATAAGCTGGTCCCTAGACCTACTGAAAACCAGGCTTCCCAAAGCTCAGACGGCTGACTCTGCCTGGGTTCCTGTCCACATATCTGAGATTACTGCCTTCCTCGTTCCTAAACGAGAATAGGGTCCACCTCATGTGGCTAGTATGTTATCCCAGGCAGTGCATTGTGTAGGAGGAGGGAAGATGTATAAGTGATCTGTGGCTGCAAACCAAATCACTCCCAAAGGCAGTGGTTCAAAATGACAGTAACCATTTATTATATCATAATCTCTGTGAGTCAGGATTCAGGAGTGGCTTAGCTGGATGGTTCTAGCTCAAAGGCTCTTGTGAGGCTGCAGTGCGATTCTGGCCATGACTGCAGTCATGCAAAGGCTTGGCTGGGGCTGGAGGATCCTTTTCAAAGTGGCACACTCATGGTTGTTGGCGGAAGACCTTTGTTTCTCTCCACGTGAGCTCCTCCATAGGGCTGTTGAGTGTCCTCACGATGTGGCACCTGGCTTCACCCAACAGACCAATCTGAGAGAGAGAGAGAGAACAAGGAGGAAGCAGCAGTGCCTGTGTGACCTAGTCCCCACAGCTGCAGCCATTGCTTCTGCTTTATTTTATTCCTCAGAAGTGATGAGCCAGGTTGCAGTGAGCTATGATCATGCCACAGCACTCCAGCCTGAGTGACAGAGCAGGACCCCAACTTCTAAAATAAAATTTAAAAAAGAAGTGAGGCCGGGCACAGTGGCTCAAGCCTGAAATTCCAGCACTTTGGGAGGCTGAGGCGGGTGGATCACCTGAGGTCAGGAGTTCGAGACCAGCCTGGCCAACATGATGAAACCCTGTATCTACTAAAAATACAAAAATTAGCTGGACGTGCTGGTGGGCGCTTGTAATCCCAGCTACTTGGGGGGCTGAAGCAGAAGAATCACTTGAACCCAGGGGTTGGAGGTCGCAGTGAGCCGCCAGCCTGGGCAACAGACTGAGACGCCCTCTCAAAAAAAAAAAAAAAAAAAGCCCAGCGTGGTGGCTCACACACCTGTAATCCCAGCACTTTGGGAGGCCAAGGTGGGTGGATCACTTGAGGTCAGGATTTCGAGACCAGACTGACCAACATGGTTAAACTCTGTCGCTACTAAAAATACAAAAATTAGCCAGGTGTGGTGGCGCATGCCTGTAATCCCAGATACTTGGGAGGCTGAGGCAAGAGAATTGCTTGAACCCAGGAGGTGGAGGTTGTGGTGAGCCGGGATCACACCATTGCACTCCAGCCTGGGCAACAACAGCAAAACTCCATCTCAAAAAAAAAAAAAAAAAAAAAGTGAGCCACCGAGTCCAGCCTATACTCAAGAGGAGGAGAATTAGGCACTACCTCTTGAAGGCAGGAGTATCAAATAATTTATGCACCTACATTAAAACCAACAGAGCAGAGGTATTGGTTAACTTTAGACTTTGTTAAGAACACATGTTAAAATAGGTAGAGGAACTACTAAAAATTTCATAGAACACTTCTAAACAAACAGAGGGGAAAACAGAATAAGAAAACAAATCCAGTCCATCTAAAAGATGACCAAGAGCAGAGCGTCTCCCTGGGTGTGTTGACAGCTCTGGGCACTCACTCCCACCTCGTGGGCTCTGCATGGCAGAGGCTGGAAATGTCCCAGACTCCAGAGCAGCTGGGCTTTGGGAAGCAAATTTAGTTTTGCCAATCTGGTGTGCTCACATGAAGTTTGGATGACCGAAGGAAGAGAAGTCACCCTTCTGCTGTGTGGGGCTGCGTTTCTGCTAGACATCAAGGAATTTCTGGGGTCTAACCTCCACTCTGTGGTTGTTGAGGGGCACTTGTGGCAATGGCTTCCAGGTCCCAGCGTGCTGATCCTCAGGTCATGACTTTGGTGGTATCTTTTTGAACTCAAAGGTTACACTGGCCGCCTCCCAATCCCCCACCTTGTGGATGGTGGCAGAGGTAGCAGCTTCCTTGGGGAGCCAGGTCTGCACTGGTGTTACTGACACCCAGCCCAGAGTCCACTCTTTTGACCCATCCAATGGTCAAGTACGCATCTGATCACTTCTACAGAATTCCTTTCTGTTCATGATCACAGGAGGAATTTCTGCTTCCTATCCTGAACCTTTGAGAGGTGAAGCCAGCTAGACTTCCTGGGTCGAATGGGGACTTGGAGAACTTTTCTATCTAGCTAGAGGATTGTAAACACACCAATCTGCAGTCTGTAAAAATGCACCAATCAGCACTCTGTGTCTAGCTAGAGGATTGTAAATGCACCAATCAGCACTCTGTAAAAGGGACCATTCAGCACTCTGTAAAATAGGTCAATCAGCACTCTGTAAAATGGACCAATCAGCAGGATGTGGGAGGTGAAAAATAAGGGAATAAAAGCTGGCTACCCCACCTTCCCTCCACCAGCAGGGGCAACCCGCTTGGGTCCCCTTCCATGCCGTGGAAGCTTTGTTCTTTCACTCTTCACAATAAATCTTGCTGCTGCTCACACTTTGGGTCTGTGCCACCTTTAAGAACTGTAACACTCACTGCGAAGGTCCGCAGCTTCATTCTTGAAGTCAGCCAGACCAAGAACCCACTGGAAGGCACCAACTCCGAACACACCTTCACTGATACAAAGTGGGGGTGAGGCCGGGTGCAGTGGCTCACTCCTGTAATCCCAGCACTTTTGTGAGGCCAAGGCAGGTGGATCACCACTTGAGTCCAGGAGTTCAAGACCAGTCTGGGCAACATAGTGAGACCTGACTTCTACCAAAAAAAGAAAAAAAAAATTAGGTATGGTGGTGGCACATCTGTTGTCCCAGTACTTGGGAGGCTGTGGTGGGAGGATCACTTGAGCCCAGGAGGTCAAGGTTGCAGTGAGCCCTGGTCACACCCCTGCACTCCAGCCTAGGCAACAGAGCAAGACCTTGTCTCAAAGTAATAACAACACTAATAAAAAAATAATGAAGTGGAGGTGGGGGAGAGAAATGGGGAAAGCAGGACAAATAGAAAGCAAACACTCAGCTGGCATGACTACATCCAGAGATAACAGCAGTCATCACTGTGCGACCAGCTGACCTGCGCAGTCCAAAGACAAAGGCAGGTTCAACGTCAATCTACCACTTGACCGAACAATCCACTCCTAAGCAGTTACCTTAGAGAAATGAAGATGTGCGTTTACACACAAGCCTGCACATAAATGTTTAGAGCCACTCCATCATAATGACACAAAGCAGGAAACCACCCAAGTGTCCTTCAGCGGGTGAATGGCTGAACAAACCCCGATCCAGCCAAACAATGGAATACTATTCGGCAATCAAAAGGAAATGCACTGCTCTCTCTCGCTGTCTCTCTCTCTTTCTCTCTCTCTCTCACACACACACACACACACACAAACACACACACCAACACGGATGAAGCTCAAAACGTATGCTGCGTGAAAGAAGCCAGACAAAAGAATACATACCGCATGATTCAATTTATAATAAAGTTTAGAAAAGACAGAAATCAAATCAGAGGTGGCCAAGGGCAGGGGGTGGAGGGAGTGGTTGGCTGCAAAGGGCATGTGGGAATTTGGAGAGGTGATGAGATGTTCTAGAGCATGGTTTTGGTGATGGTTACACAACGTTCACCAAAACTCATTAAACTGTAAACCTCAAAAGGATGAATTTTACTGTATGTAAACTATACTCCAATAAAACTGATTTTTTTTTTTTTTTTTTTTTTGAGACAGGGTTTCACTCTGTCGCCCAGGCTGGAGTGTAGTGGCGTGATCATGGCTCACTGCAGCCTCAACCTCTTGGGCTCCAGGGATCCTCCCACCTCAGCCTCCTGAGTAGTTGAGACTATAGGCATGCACCACCATGCCTGACTAACTTTTCTATTTTTTTTTTAAGAGATGGGATCTCACTATGTTGCTGCCCAGGCAGGTCTCAAAGCTGATTTTTAAAAAGACAAGAATTGTTAGACAGAGTCAAACGAAACCAAAACCCAACTATGTGCTGTTTTCAAGCGCCACACCTGAGATACGAAGGCACAGAAAGATTGAAAGAACAGAGAAAGACATGTCTGGCTGAACCCAGCTTGCCTGCCTGCTGGCCCTTCCTTCCTGCCCCGCTGTTGGCTGTGGCTTCTGCGACTTCCACATGCTCATCACAGGGTCAGTCTGGGGCTTCCCTTGTCCAGTTCACTGTGTCTGTGAGGGGTGGGTCACAGGGAGCAGGGCTGTGAGAAGCACTTGACGTTGAAGGGAAAGAGGCAGCCATCTGTCTGCTTGGTGTCTCCCTAACCGCCACAGCAAGCACATGGCAGTGGAGGGGTGGCTTGCCTCTTGTTCAGGGCCAGTCCCTCCTGCTTCTCCTGGGACTTACCCTGCCCTTGGTCTTCTGTCACTCTTGCTTTTGCTCCCATTGGCTTCTCCACCTCATTACACGGAAGTGAGAATGGACATTGTGGTCAAGCAGAAGGGAATTCAAGTCCCAGTTCTGCCATTTACCTTCTGGGCGATCTTGGGTGGGTCATTTGACCTCTCTGGACCTTGGTTTCCTCATCTGTGAAATGGGGGCACTGATAGTGCCAATTATTTCCTGGTTGCATGACTGCCCCTCTCTGGACCTTGGGTACCTCGCTGGTAGAGTGAGGATAATAACAGCACTGTCATCTGCGAGAGGTGTGTGTGTGGATGCAATGAGCCAGTGGAGATAAAGAGACCTTCCTAACTGTGCCTGCTGGACCCAGCCCTTGAGCTCTGTGGGCTTTGGTTTTCTCATCTGTAACGTGGGGCGAATGCTTCAACAGACCTCCCCAGGTTGGTGTGCAATTTAAATGTGCAGGAAACGTAATGATGGCAGGTCCATGGCTCTGCTCAGGAAATGTGATGTCGTGTAGTCCTAGTAATGAATTTTTTGTTATCATAAATGGACCCATCACTACACATTAGCAGTAGCATATAAACGGGCTCTATTCTCTGCTTACTTCACCCCTGTCAAAGTCATCAGCCTGATGGGCATCAAACCCTAGATTAGGTAAAGGATTTGCAGAAGTTGTGGCTTGGAGAAAAGGCTGGGAACATAGGGAGTGAGTGGAGGCAGCAGCAGCTGGAGAGGAGAGAGGCCTATCAGAGTTCAGATCAGCAAAGGCAGGAAGCTGACCACAGCTCAGTGCCTCACGGAAAACACACCCTCTTCGCCCAGCTCATGGGCCCGCTGGCCTCGTGACCCAGGCAGGCTCAGTTTTCTCTGCTGTCACCTGAAGATGCCCTGCAGGTGCCTCCACTCTGGGAGCAGTCTCCCTAGCTGTCCACCTTCACTCAGGTGCCTAGTCTTGTCCATTTCCCTCCTAAAGACTGGGCAAACATGGCATCCAGACCCTCTCTGAGCACAGGTGGGTCACCGCAAGCTTCCCATTCCAGGGGAACTGAAGCTGGCATTATGCGGGTGGGGCATCCAAGCCAGGATGCCAGGGCTGCTCCCATGTGGGCCCTCCAGGGCCCCACACCACTTGGGGAATCTTGTGAGACCGAGTTGAGGGCCCCTGGAATGCTTCACTGGGCAACAGGCATGCCCATAAAAATATCTTGGCCACCAGAGCTGTAATCTGCCATCAGGGCTCTAGGCCTTCCTAGCCCTGCGGCTGCAGCCAGCTCGCCAGCTCCGGAATTCCTACCCCTCCATTTTGCTTCCTCGCCTGTGAGGTCATGGCCTTGAGCCTAGGAGGGGGCGCTGGGGAGGAGCTCCTTCCTTCTCCATCCTGTGCAGGGCTGCGGGGGAGAGTGGGAGAGAGTGGGGTCGGCGGGAAAGGTCGAATGAGGCCAATCCCGAGGACAAAGAAATAAGACACCGGAGAGCTGGAGGAAAATCTGGGAGTTGGGGGTGGCAGTTCGAGGGATACCCTCTCCGAGACCCTGTCGCCCCTGGACTCGCCTCCTACCCTGCCCCCCGCCTGGGCTCTGGGGTGCGCAGGAGCCCGCCCTCCGCGGCGCCTCCTCAACACGCTGGAGATCGAAGCCCCCGCACCCCTCCCATTAGGACCCGAACTGGGAGCTCAGGATCGGGGCGGGGGGGCGGCATTCGGGAGAGGTCTCGGGAGTCCTGCCCTGGGTATGTGTGTGTGTGTCGGGGGGAGGGGGCGTTACGTGCGATGCCCATCGCTGGCCTGCGCCGTCGAGGGCCGGGCCGAGACTGGGGGAGAATCCCCTTCCTTGTCGGACTCCCCTCTCCACCGCCCGGCCCCAGGTCTCTGGGAGCACTGTCGCCCCGCGATTCCCGCTCCGAGCCTTCACAGCGGGGTCCCTTGCGCTGGGGCTGGGAACACTCTCCGGCCGGAGACTCCTGGTCCGCTGGGGAGGGGGTCTGGCGGGACCCGTCGACTGGGATCCCAATGAGCTCCCTGAGTGGGCTGCCCGGGGACCCCCAGCCCGAGTCGCGCTCGGCTGGAACCAGGGGCTAGGGTGCGGCGGGGCG